ATGCGTTTTTTGATGCTTCCCAGTATGAATTTTTTGGTCAAAATTCTATGGAAGAAGCGGTGTTGGGAGTTCTGGAAGATGGTGAAGTGGAAGCTCCTATGTTTGCATCCATTGAAGACGATGAGTACCGTTTGTTTGATAAAGGAGAGGTTGGATTTCATTCCTTTGATATGTTCCATTAAATCTTGGTTTCAAATTGCAATGTTTATTGATTTTGAAACATGACTGTTTCAGCTCTAATTTACCTGTTATTTACTTTGTAGGTTGGAGGTTTAGGGTCATTATCTGATATGGATGATCTGGCTAGTACTTTTGCAAAGGTATGTTTTATTTATTTATAAACGTTGCAGTGTGATGAATGTCAATAATTAGCATTTCTCAGTAACAGTTGTTTATAAGATTGGTATGTATGCCTGTTTCCTGAATTGCCATTCGCCTTTATTTTTTATTGATTTATTTAATTTTATCTAAATTGCAAGAGGAGTTTAGATTAATTGTTTTCAGTAAGCTGACCTATCCAATTTTGCTTTTTTACCATATGAGAATAGTGTTAAATGGGAGATAGGGGAGATCAGAAATACTGTTTTAAACAATGACTTCTCCATTCTATTTGCCTAAGAACTGGTTTGAAGATGGTTGTTTTGACATGGTGTTGGCAGATTGAATAACTTAGCATTCATATATTATGTAATTCTGCAGATTCAAATATGTTTGTTTTATGTTGTTCTCTTGCTACCTATTTTGTTTTGGTTGTCCTTCCATAGTGATTGGATTATAATCTCTCTCTTTTTCCTGCAGTTGAATAGGGTTGTCACAGGACCAAGAAATCCAGGAGTTATTGGTGATAGATCTGGTTCGTTTTCAAGGGAAAGTAAGTATAATTATGCCTGCATATTGTGGTTAAAATCTGTATTGATGATTGAAAAATCGTAATATCATTTTCCATACGAAAAAAGATCACACTTTTATTCCACTTTTTTGCTTGAAAATCATCGGATCAGTTTGGTGTATATGCTAAATAATTCTCTCTCTCTCTCTATATATATATATATGTGTGTGTGTGTGTTATACACAAAATTTTCAATGGAAAAGAGGGCATAAATGTGTATTATTTTATTTTTCAACTTTTAAAACAGGAATTGCGTATATGGAAATCTGAAGATGGATTTAGATTAAATGGAAATTGGCAAGTGTCCTGTCTTATTACATCGTTGGCATATTTCTGAGCTGACTTCTGCATTTTCCTTTCCAAGCCCATTAAAGCTTTAAATACCCCCCCCCAACCAAAAAAAAAAAGAAGGAAAAAGTGTGCATACTCTTGTTCTTGTTCTATCAGAGTTCCATGTTGAATTACATGCAATTCCTGTTACACAGCTTCCTTTAGTTTAAGCATCAACTTTCTCATCTTTCAAGATAACCAATAGAATTGTCCATTTGTTTAAAATACAATATCTGAACTTGCCAATTTGTCGAGTTATGATTTTATTCTGTTCAACGGTGGTTGATAACATTTATATATCAATTGCTTATGTTTCATGTTGTGAAAATTATTTTCAGGTTCATCTGCTAATGACTGGGCTCAAGATGGAGAGTTTTTAAACTGGATGGATCAGCATATGTTTGATACAGAAGATGCTCAAGAAAGCAAGAGATGGTCCTCACAACCACAATCATCATCTGCTCATTTTTCAGAATCAAAACCTTTGTATAGAACTTCATCATATCCCCAGCAGCAACCAGAGCCTCTCTTCATCTTTGATACAGATGACGCTCAAGAAGGCAAGAGATGGTCTTCTCAGCCACAACCATCTCCTGCTCGTTTTTCAGAATCAAAGCTTTTGTATAGAACTTTGTCATATCCCAAGCAGCAACCAGAGCTTCACTTCTCAAGCGAACCAATTGTTGGACCCAAATCATCAACCTTCACATCTTTCCCTCCTCCTGGTAGCAGAGGCCAGCAGAATTTGCCTGGCAACCTAAAAATTCCTGTTCTTACTAGTGGATCTCAGTCACACTTCTCTGCAGCAAGCCTCTCTTCGATGTCTACCACCAGTCTTCATCTGGCCAGTCTATCACAGGGATTACATTTTGGTGGTAATTTGCCCCAGTTAACATCTCTTGGCCTATCTTTTAGTAGCAGGTCTCAAAATTATTGGGTTAACCAATTTGGTCTATTGCATGGAGAACGTGCTGGTCTTTTGCATCATATGTCGCAACAGCAAATACCTCATCTAAATGGCCTAATTTCTTCTCAACAGCAGTTTCAAGAGCAGAGACTACATGCAGTCCAACCATCTTTTGCACATTTTACTGCATTGCAATCTCAACTGCATAATTCCCATCCTTCATCTCACAAAATGATGTTTGGACTGGCTGATCATAGGGAACATCGAACTAAATCATCACAAAGAAACAGGCAGAACATGCATTTTTCTCAGCAAAGTTCAGATACTGGTAGCCAGAAAAGTGAGAGAGGATTGGTGCAATTCAGATCCAAGTATATGACTGGTGAAGAGATAGAGAACATTCTCAAGATACAGCATGCCGCCACGCATAGTAATGACCCTTATGTAGATGATTATTACCACCAAGCTTGTCTTGCTAAACGATCTTCTGCATCTAGGGCTAAACATCAATTTTTCCCATCTCGCAAGAAAGAATCACATTCTCGATCCCGTAACAGCGGGGATCAGCATTTGCATCTCCATATGGATGCACATGGGAAAGTTTCCCTCTCTTCCATTCGTAGACTCCATCCTCTGCTTGAAGTTGATCCTCCCTTAGGTTCAGGTAATGGTTCTGATCAGAAAACTGTGAGGCCTCTAGAGCAGGAACCTATGCTTGCAGCTAGAATCACCATTGAAGATGGTTTCAGTCTTCTTCTTGAAATAGATGATATTGACCGGCTCATACAATTTAGTCAACCCCATGATGGTGGGGCTCAGCTCAGACGGAGGCGGCAGATCCTGCTTGAAGGCATGGCGACATCACTTCAGCTTGTTGATCCACTTGGAAAAGGTGCACATGCAGTTAGCTGCGCTCCGGAAGATGACATTGTGTTCTTAAGATTAGTCTCTCTTGCAAAAGGCCGGAAGCTTATAACTAGGTTCCTTAAGCTTCTCATCCCTGGGGGTGAGCTTATACGAATAGCATGCATGACCATTTTCCGTCACTTGAGGTTCTTGTTTGGTGGTCTTTCTTCGGACCTGGAAGCAGCCAGGACAACGAATGACCTTGCAAAGACTGTTTCCATGTGTGTTAATGGAATGGATCTTCGTGCGCTTAGTGCATGCCTTGTTGCAGTTGTTTGTTCTAAAGAGCAGCCTCCACTTAGGCCCCTTGGAAGCTCTGCTGGGGATGGTGCGTCTGTTATTTTAAAATCAGTTCTTGAAAGGGCAACTAAACTTCTAAGTCATCCTTCTGGAAATTGCAGCATGCCTAATTATGCCTTCTGGAGAGCTTCGTTTGATGAATTTTTCACCCTTCTTACCAAGTCTTGTGTGAGTAAATACGAGATAATCATCCAATCAATACGAAACCAGACTCAGCCATCCACAGAAGTCATCAGTTCAGGGGCTATAAGGCGTGAAATGCCTTGTGAGCTTCTACGAGCCAGTCTTCCTCACACAAATGAGTCCCAAGGGAAGCTTTTGATGGACTTTTCTCAGCATTCTGTGCCCATGAATGGATCCAATTTGCCTGCTGGGAGTACTAGCCAAATCAACTCCGAATCGGTAAGGGGATAACAAAGAAAAAGGGGTCTTGTGTGAAGATCGTGAACAATGCACTCAATAGGATAATAGAGGCAAAGGGTAAGTTTAGATGGGGGACAGGCCTACATTATTTGCCGAACTGTTCTCCTTCCACTCTTAACCCCCTTTCCCTTTTCTCTTTTCCTTCCCTAAAATCCGGGGAAGTTGACGAAGCTTATCATAGTAAAACATGAATGTCTTTGACGAGTGGAAGTTGTTAGTTCAGCTTCTGGGGAGCTATATTTTGGTGCTCTGTTTGGAGACGCTACAAAACCAAGTGGAGGCGTTGTAGTAGCAGCAGCAGTAGTATTAGTGGGTTAGAATGAAATTGAATGCACAGTTGATCTGTTACAGAACCTTCAGAAACACGCCTTTTCGATGCGGATTCCAATGATGTCCAAACTGGCCTTTTTGTGTGTGTTTTCTCCTTGTTGGAAACCGAGTATTGAAGGGGTGGGGCAAGGGCTGGCTTATCTGAGAGATCAGGAATCAACCTGTAATAATGTAAAAAGTCTTCAAACATGTTTTATTTGATGAAGGTTTGCTTTTAATGTTATATGCCAAGCAATATTTGTTTCTTCTATTCTCTTTTCTTCTCTTGTGAAATCGTTTGCAGCCATTTTTTTCTCTTCTTAGAGCGTTACTTGCTCATAACCTAAGGTGATATATTGCCTACATCGTCAACATCAAGATATATCATCACACGACATACTTATATGCCAATTTTGTTTCAAGTGTGTCGTATTGTAAATGGACATTATATTCAACATTAGAAACAAAATATTAAGTATGACATGACATTTAAATAAATGTTTACTGAAGTTTAATAAATTGTGGTAATCTGTTGGAAGTATAATAGGAAAAAAGCACTCAACATTTGGTGTTGTCTCCAATTATGTCCCTATTTTTTTGACCAAATTTATCTTAATGTTTCGTTTTTTACACTCAATACTTTCTGCTATTGGAAAAAGGTTTAATAGGGCACAATTGAAAAAAGATGTAGGGGTTTGTTCCTTAAATTTGTTATTGTGCCAATATGCAACCGTCAAATAGAAAAATTTATATTGAAAATGTTAAGTGGCTGTACAGTCAACTCTTCCTACATATTTTCTGAGAGTAAATTATTTGTCTATCAATAAAATTTTAGTTATCAAAAAGTAATGAAGTACTACATCATCTCTCTCTCCAGGTTAGAAGGCAAACCAATGGTAAACAAATTATACAGATAACAGCTATAAACAGGGAAGTTTGTCATATACATAATTAATCCTAAAAAAGCCAATGCTTTCTTCTTGCTGCTCCGGTGGGAACATCTGCATATATATATATATATATATAGATGGACTTCATTAATCTGGCAGATGAAATAGCAAGAACTGGGTGAAAGATAATGCATTATAAGAAAAAGAATAGAAAATGGGTCTCACCTCCACTTGCATACAATGAATTGTAATGCACTTCACTCCAGAAGCTCAGCCAAACTTCTGTAATACAACATAATAAGCTAATTAGTTTAAGAATCAGCTGATAAAAGAAAGGGGGATCTAATTGCCTTCAAGGGGGATCTAATTGCCTTCTATGGATACTTGATTCAGATCACCGCATGAAAAATCAGGCAAGATGATGAAATACCATCTACCTCTAGTAGGACTTGCTTGTTTGGGCATGATTTCAATGTAGCAAGCATCACGAAAAGAGGTGACTAGACAAATTTTGGCTCCAAACTGCAGTTGATAGAAAAGAGGTCAAACATCAAAACCAGAAAGCCGATGAAATAGCTAAGCTAATAGATAGAGTTACACAATTAACCATTTCTGCATAAGCATAACTTAATAAACGTTAGATAATCACAAGCAAGAATTTCAAAGCATTGCTTAGTAAGATTATAGAATATATACATAAAAGGAAAGGCCTTTTTCATTGAATTTCATTAGCATGTACTATCATATTCATCTCAGGCAAAAGGCAGATTAAACACTATAACCTTGGAGGTCTGCAACTAATTTTTAACCGATGTCCATTTACCACTTGATGAAAAATAAGTGGAAGATCTGAGTTATTTTAAGATGAAACAAAAAAAATAGAGAATAGACTGGGGGAAAATGAGCTTGTACGGGGAAGTAACAAGATTTCATTCAAAGGAGTCAAAAAGATGAAATTTCAACTTACTCGGTCAGCAGCTGCTTGCAGAGTGATATGATCTCCCCATTCCCCGGATCTAGTAAACAGAAAATTTAGCACTAAATGAGTTACTGTTCACTCATTTTAGATCATTAAAAAATCTTACATATTCATCCAGAGGCAAGATTCAATATCTAACTTTTTCATCATCTTCAGGTAGCTTTTGTACTTCATTGGAACATAACTTTCATACAACTTTTTGGAATGCTTTAGCTGAGAAACAAGAAATTAAAATAAACAAAAAGAATAATAGAGAGTTAATGTAAACATAAAAATGATTATTCTAATCGCAATTGTTCCTTATCTAGCCCTGCTCTAGGAGATAAAGATAATAATAGAGTTGAAATAAAACTAGATGATATACCAAATTGAAATTCTGGCTACTTTGGTATTTCAAATGTATAAATAACCCTTATATATATTATAAAAAAATAGTATATGATCTTGTTCTCTGAGTAGGAACATAGGCATCATACATGTGTGTGGGCATCAAGATATATACATGGAAGTCTTCGAGAATTCAACTTGTACTTAGGTGTATTATATGACAAGTTAATAAAAGAAACCTTTTATTCCTGAGACTATGTCAGGAAATGCATATACCGATGTGGTACTCTTTCTTTTATATAATGCATTCACCTTCGCCCATATAAACAGAGACGTAATAAATCTCACAAACAAAAGAAGGGAAAATATTCTTTTGTTTTTCTATAAGAAGGGGAAAATGTTCCTAAAAGTGAAAGACATGAAAATCACCTATTTAATGAGGAGAAATAACAAAGTCGGAGTATTTGCAAAGGGGAAAGCTTCTTTGTCACAATAGCTAATATTTATCCGATGGAATAATATCTGAAACTGAGAGATGTTTGCATTTGTGGAGCAGAATAAAGCTTACCTGCTTGACAATCTGCCTTCTAATATGTTCGTGGTAGTCTGGATTGCGGAACAGCTGATCTGCTAGTGCTCGGAACTATAAAAAAAAGGATACTGTCATGGAAGATTTATCAAGAAAAACAGCAGATGTAGACAAAGAAAACAGTAATAATGCAAAGAATAAGTGACTTTGATATTAAAATCTTATTGTTTCATGTATGTGCATCTGTATCTGGAAATATAGATAGGTATAATATCCATATGATAATTGTGGATAAAAAAGGTGATGGTAGAGAAAAGACTAATCATAGGACAAAAAGAAAGACCTGGCAATTTCCATCACCCTCGATTTGCAGTTCAGCTAAACCATAAGTAGCCAGCCTGAACAAAGGGGGAAAACCCATCATAACTAATTAAACGCAAACCAATTTAAACAGATATCTGAAAAGGAGAGTATTGAAGGGAGGTTATCAAATGCAAAATCTTCAACCATCATATTAGGATGCAAGTCTTTTTTTATTCCATATTTGCTATGTTGCCAGGACTTGGGTGTGAGAGCGGTGTCCTGACTAGCAAAAACCCGAGCAAAATGAAGCAAATTCACAAAAGAAAACAACACAGAAGTTGGTGAGGAAATAAGATGAACGGCTGTCGTAAGATTGGATTGAGAAATTATTACTTCTGAATGCAATTTCCAAACCCCAAAAATTTAATTATTTTCTCTCATTTTTCTTATTTGCATTTGGATGTTTCTCCAATCTTCCTACTCATGTTGGTTTCAATCTCTTTCTTCCATCGCATTTTTTTCATCACCCTAGACAAGTCCAGAGAACTCTACCCACATCTGTTCCAATTTATGAAAACATGAGTACTCCACCAAAAAAACCGAGTCCGAGCAACAACTCATTCTTGAGCAATTAATACTGACCCAGTAAGAATGGTATCGTTTTAGACTTTCACGAGTCATATAATGCACAAAACTATTAACACCACAAGTCCAAAATGGTTTTTTGAACTTGAAACCAACGAAGAACAGAATTCAAGCCACCTTTTGGCAAAATGGAAAGAGACCACAAAGTTTTTCAAAAGAAACAGACAAATTAAACATCATAGAAACCAAAGAATTAAAGACGAAACGAAGTCCATGTTTAAACCACTTTTGTTTTGTATAAGCTTAAATGGGAGCAGACTATAAGTGGTGAACAACCTAAGATGAAACAATCAATGGGAAACTGATATAGTGAGTATGACAAGATCACAACCTTTCATAAAGTCGTTCATGATCTAAGGTCGCATCATTCACATCAGGTATTTCCCCATTGACACGAGAAGTGTGCTGTCAACAAAATGATCATGTCAAAAAATCATCAGCCAAATAGAATGAAATGCAGGTGAGATCAGACATTGCAATAACATTAAAGTTAGGAGCAAAAGGAGGCGTTATAGTTTTTTGAAAACCTTGTTAAGCTGAATTCACAATTTCCTAATCAAGTGCGAGATAAACAAAAAGGCTAAAACCAGGACGCTAACTCTTTGGTAGACTCCTATATTTACGATAAAAGATGGTAAAAGACAAAAAGACAATATAACACTTCCTAGTAATACTCCTAAAGTTACAACAAATGTGAAGTGTGCTCTTTTACAAATGTACTTTTAATATGAAAAGTTCAAAAAAATGATCATCCCATAAGAGTGATGCAGCACTGATACAAAAAAAAAGCACGAATGACGTGTTTATCAATATATATCATGCCATAAAAACCTCCGCTTCAGTCAAAAATTATGCCACAAAAATGCATACAACTCATGCACCAGGAAAACATGCTATAATGGGAAAAGAAAACTTTAAAGTTATTGAATTGATAACAATTAAAGAAAGAAAAAAAATGCTAGGATCTCAGACGTGATGAAAATAACACATGTAACACAATAAATTTTCTCCAGAAGCACCATGCTTCTGGCAATATATTAAGTTTTCAACGACCACCGGCAAGTCTCGTAGTAGTAATTCCTAAAGTTTCCAAATTATAGCATGTCACTCAGCAGAACATAGTCCTCAAAACTACAACGGCTAGTCCGTGTGGTATGATTTTTAAACAATGCAAATACTTCAACAGAGTGACCAACCAACATAAAAGTGGTAGAAATGGTTATACCGGAATGGAATCCAGATGAGAAAGCCTTTTTCCAAGCTTACCATTGTTGTGTAAATTCTTCTCTTCTGCTAAGATGGTTGCTATGGCTTGACCATCTTCTGTATCTTGGAAGCTGCTATTCAGGCTTGAGCTGGAGCTTGCACTTGCATTACCATAGCCTTCACTCATACTGTCTCAATAACAACATTCAGCCATCTATTGCACTGATAGGAAAGGTTGATAAGCATCCAAATCGAGCAAATACTGTATCAAACACCTAAAAGAATTACTTAAAAAATCCAAGTTATCCAGATCCTCCATGGGTATGCTAGAAATACCCAGAAAATGAAAGACGAAATGTGATTCCTATCAAAACTGTTGTTAAATTCCATATAAGCATATGATAGATAAAAAAAGCGGTGGGATCGTTTAACTGATTCTTATAACTATCTCTCAGCTAAACAAGATTGAGATAAGTCTATGTTAAACAAAAGCAGTTCCAATTTAACAACGAATCTCCTATAATTATCATCTTTTTCTTCCATTTTCTCAGCAAACAAGCAGAAGCACAAGTCATCCAAGCAAGACAGGAGCAAGGAAATGGACATAAATGAAAGACGAAAACAAGAACAGCCGTAACCACATAAATCCCAGAAAAAAATGGAAATAGAGAATACCCAGATAAGAAAAACTGAAGAACTTCGAGAATTTTTGACGTATGATTCGTTAGTTTGTTTTATCTTCTAAGCTGAATCTGAAAAGTTCTATGTTCGCATAAGTGTGCTCATTTAAATATGGTTGGACGGTTACAAATGTTACCATTTAAATTAAAAAAATAAAATTATATATATATATATATATATATTTAGAAAAAGAAAATACAATTTTTGAAATAACTCAAAACTTTAAAAAATTTCATTTCAACCCTTAAACCTACACCAGCTATCATCTTTTGACGTCGACGAAGCTCCTCCCGACTTCCTCTCCCTCAGGAGACCAAAACTCCCATGAAATCGTAATCGATCGACAACGAATCAACGTTTTATATCCCGTGAACCCTAAGATGAAAATCATGATTCCGACAGCCAATCAACAGAAATTACAACGACGTACGAGTAGGAGGATGGTAAGGACTATGTCGGTGGCAGTGGTCGTGGCCGAAAAAGACGGCGGCGGCAGATTAAGTTTAAGATTTGAGATTTTGGGTTGTTTTATAATATAAAAAAGTTAGTTTTTTTTATAAATATCATAATATTTTTTAAAATAAATAAATAAATTTCAAAATCATTAGATTGCGAAATGTGTCACTCAACTAGAAAATTAACGATGTTGATGTCTCAGACACCTAAATTAGTAACTTTTGTAACTTTAGGTACCTAGATGAGTTAAAAAATAGTTTAGACACCTATCTAGGAAAAGAGGTATAATTTAGACACTTATTTTGATTTAAGCCTTAAATAAATGGGGAATCCAATAAAAAAAGAAATGGTCAAAATAGTTGTACAAAAATGTAACACCCCCAACCCGTATCCGACCCAGATACGAATCCGAGGTATCACATTGACTAGTTAAGACATGTACTTTTATTAAAAAAAAACCATAAAAAATTTAAAACTTCCATTCTATAAAGTTGTTATTTTACATAAACATGTTCAAAACATTATCAAACTTCATCAGAGCGTACGTTCTTAATAACTTTGTTTACATGCCAACATACTAATTTACATAACATAATATACTTTACAAAATATTTCTGATCTGATCTTCGAGTGGAGATATATTGTTCTGCTGGTACTGAGCTTGATCATTTTGCTTACCAACACCTACGTGTAAGACACTTACACGCTAAGTCATAGACTTAGTGAGACATGTAAATACATAAAATAACTAATAAATGCATGAACATATCATGTAATACACATCATTAACATATTATCATTACTTATTTCCTTGTCATTAATTCACTTCTATCATATGAGCATATGTTTGACATAAACATATAATATAAACTCCAAAACCCAACAATACATGAATAAATACTACTGTCGTATCATACACAATCACATATCATCTATATCACAGATACACATAGGCACTTATTATTATTATTCTCATTCCTATTATCATATGATTCAGAACTTATCATCTATACATGTCATATAGCACAAATACTATTTCACAAAGAACACATATATTATCATAACAAGTTATTTATTATCTTTAAAGCCCATGCACTCTTTTGAGAACTTAAGGTATGTGAGTACATAGAGGTTCTGTACATATACTGTCACCACAACTCGTATAATTCCCACTAGGGACACGTAGAATTTATCTCGTAGGACCACTATGTCCCGAAGGACCACTATGTCCCGAAAGACCACATAGAACACATATGTCTCGTAGGACCACGTAGAACCCTCGACTCTTGGCATGCCAACTATACCTATAGCTCTCATAACACATGACATGGGCATTATCTTTTATATCATTTCACATCTTCACATATTCATATCACATAAGCATATACTCATGACTTCTTATCACATATATCATGTAATACTCACATGGAATCTTATATCTTCTTATCATATATCTTATATCACATGTCACATGGCTTATATCTTGTTCTCATATATTCTTATGAACATATGAATACATAGATACTCATCACATAGCTCATACCAACTTTTCACATATTTTATTAGTTTAGTATCCCATAACTTATATCATATTATCATGTGGTCACATATATCACCTAACACATATATCATAGTCACATAAAATGTATCATATAAACATATTTTCTCATGGTTAATAATCACATACTTAACATATAAACATATGCATGTATTCATGTCCACAAACAAATCATATCAATACTACACTTGCATTCTATTTCACATAACTCATAACATATACATGTTTCATATATAATTCATATAATTTCTTATACCATCACATAATTCAATTATAACCTTTAACATACCATGTAACATTCTAATAAAAACACCTATAAGTCATATCACGTTCATATATCTTTTATCATTTATTTTATCTCTTATGACCCCCTAACCTATTACTACACATACATGCATTTACATGGTTCACATATGAAGATACATTCAACAATCAAACATATGTATTTACTCATATACATCTAGCACTGTATCACTACATAATCATACTCTGGTACTCATAAACATAATATCACACCATGTCTGTACTCTTGTACTTATGTTATATATTATCGGAATTAGACTCATCGTAAGTCTTAATTCCTAAACATCACGTACACTTAATATTATGTACTCACTTGGTCTCAATGAACACTCTTAAGCTCTTGTTCTTTCTTGCATATCTTACTCTGTCGACCTATCTGAACTTTGCTTTTGATCAATGTCTACAAAATCATGTGTTGATATTTATCAGTATCCAATTGATATACTCTAATCTTTCATTTCTTATACTAAAAGAAAGATTTATTTCTATTTTCCCTTTGAAGTGTATCGGTACACACTATAGTGTACTGGTACATTCCTTAACGTGTGTATCGATACACAAATTACATTCGAAAGTTTTCATGTTCAAGGGGGTATCGATACACTCCTTAATGTATCGGTACACTTTGAAAGTCTTCCCAGATTTTACTCTTGATAGATCGGTACCTATTGAATGTGTTCCGATACACACCAGCCCAGAAATCAATTTTAAGAATGAAAATCACTTCATTCTAGCTCAATTGTGTCATATTTCAACCCCTTTCATATCCTTAACTCACATACACATACTTAAACTCATTAATACCCATTTATCACATCTCTAACCTCAAAATCCTATCCTCTACATGGAATTCAAAAATCATACCAATTTTTCCACTTGTTCTAAATCCAATTCTATCACTTTGAATTTCTTATTTCTATTCATGACAAGTCAAATTCATCATTAGAACTTCAGAAACCTATTTATATCAAAAGTTCATTTCTAAATCCTTAATAGAATTTCCCTTTTAAATCTTTCTTCTTGATGATTTAAGCATATATAAGCTTTTCTTAAGCTTATATAACACTCAAAGAATAAAACCCAACTTAAATCTTCAAGAATTAACCATCAAAATTAAAACTCAACTTTGAGGCTTGAGCACACAGGAAGAAGAAGAAGAAGAGTTCCAGATAACTCTTCAAATCCCATGTGTTCACTCTTAATAAGGTGAAGAAAAATATCTTTTAAGCTAAAATTACTATAATGCCCTTCACTCATTCCAAAATTACCATTTAATCCAATACTGAAATATTTATATTTAAGTCCTTGAACTTTAAAATTTTCCTAAATTGATCCCCAAATTTCAAAAAAAATATTTTAATCACTGAACTGGATTTCGGGATGTTACAAATCTCCCCCCTTTAAAAAAAATTCATCCTCGAATTTTACTTTATAACAAGATTAAGCAATCTTTTAATGATACTCCGCAAATCTTGGTTTATTCTTACTATTAACCTTATATACAGTCCTTTTTCGATACTCAATACATATCTCTTTTACTCATACTATAAACAACCTCAACACAACTTATTCACTTGGAAACCATATTCTATTAATTCTTAACAATTCCTTACTTATTGCTTCCAATTAAATCGTTCAATGGTCCTTCTACTTACCACTTAACAAATACTATGATGATTTCCAAATCTTATTAAAACCATATACTTTACAACATTATTGAAATTTACCTGCTAAAATCTTTGGATCCTCAAAATCTTCACTTGCACCCAAATTATAAACTGATGCAGTTGGTTGCATATCATGTTGAGTGAATGATTTAGATTGATTCCTTCTACGACCTCTACCTCTATTTTTCTGAGATACCATAACAAACTTCTCTCTCTGTACCGTCTCATCAGTTATAAGTGGACAATCTCGAATAAAATGTCCAACATCAACACATCTAAAATAGGCTCCTAAAATCACTCTACATACTCCTGTATGATCCTTTCCACAATATGAACATTGCCTGACTTGTCTAAAATTTGATCTTTTATTGGTAAAAGCAACTGATTCCAACATATCCTGAATTGGAGAATCCAATTCTCTATTTTTCTTTGATGGCGAGGAACTCGACGAAGCACCCACTCTCTTAGACTTCTGAACTTTCTGTTCTTTAAATCTCTCACTCTGAGCTCTTTCTAGAGCTTTAGCTCGATTAACCATTTCTTGAAACGATGACAAATTCAAGGCTATCAATAACTCCCTTATCCTAGGGCACAAACCCTCTACAAACCAGTCACATACATCATTCTCAGTCGGAATAAGCTCAGCAACAAAATGACTTAACTTATTAAACTCACATTCATATTCATACACTGTATAATTCCCTTGCTTCAAATTCAAAAATTCTTGTTTCATCTGTCTAATATATTGGTCCCCAATGTACATAAAGGTTGTGCACATATTCATATATTATCATAACAAGTTATTTATTATCTTTAAAGCCCAAGCACTCTTTTGAGAATTTAAGGTATATGAGTACATAGAGGTTGTGCACATATGTTGTCACTACAGCTCATATAATTCCCAATAAGGGCGCGTAGAATTTGTCATGTATGAAAACTATGTCCCGAAGGACCACTATATCCCGAAGGACCACTATGTCCCGAAGGACCACATAGAACATATATGTCCCGTAGGACCACGTAGAACCCTCGACTCTTAGCATGCCAACTATACCTATAGCT